TGCGCATGTTGTGAAGTGCTCGTTGAATGACCAGTGCGTTGGGCAAAGTGTGATGATTGGTTGTTTGCAACAGCAATTTCTCGCTGATGCATGTAGCCTGCTAACTTGTCTGCTTGCAGTTATGCAGAACCTTCTAGACTAGGATTGTCCATGACCGAGTGCTGCAGCCAAGCCGCTAGAATGTTTGCATATAAAGTCAACGTTTTTTGCACTTTGCACTTATCTTCTAAGAAAACTACAGGTCTTTTGAGTAGTTAAGGTGAAAGTGAAATTGCAGCTAGTCTAGGTCTAGCTAAGGTTCAAGAAGCTTAGTGCAAGCTGACATAAGCTTGGTCCAAAACTACCTAGTCAATGCAACATAGTATACCTGCTTCCTGATTCGACACCGCTCACCCCAGCATGCCTGGGGTCCGCACGGGCATGGAAGTCAGCAACACCCATCGCGGCGCTGCCAAACAACCAAACAACGACAGCATTGCAGTGCAGTCTGCTGTCAAAGACGAGGACGGCAATGACGACATCTTCGCAGAAAGCGACAGCGACGATGGGTACGACTACAAACCGCGACCAAAGCTGCCGCAGCCCAATGTCCACATGCGAAGTTTGGGAAGTCTGATAAGTGAGTGAAAGACTGGCCGACTATGACGAGAGGATTTTCTACTGACAGCGGCCAGAGGAACTGGAGAGCGGTGCGATCGATGTCGACCCGGAATATCAACGTGAGGTTGTCTGGACAGGTAAAAATGCCCAACTTGATTGTCGCCGACATGCTAATAGCAATAGCCGATCGTATGACGGGTCTCATTAATTCTCTGATGGGTATGATCTCCTCCAGGCTCTCTTGGCATGAACGAATTCAAAGATTCCTAATACTTGCGTAGAAAACTACTACATCCCACCCATTATTCTGAATAAGAAACGGATTATTGGAACAGATGGTACACCACGTGACGTTCTCGTCTGCGTGGACGGAAAGCAACGACTTTCCTCTGTCAGGGCATTCGTCAAAGGCATGATTCCTTGCCACGACCACAAGGGCGAAAAGTGGTAAGCAATTCAGTCCAATTAATATCTCTCAATGGCTCACTGACAGTGCAAGGTGGTTCTGTGAGACGCCTATCAATAAACGCAAAAAGGTACTTCCTTCGGACACTCAAAAGTCGTTCTTGGAGAAAGACTTTGTGGCCTTTCAGTTCGCAGAGCTTACGCCAGTACAAGAAGAAGACCTTTTCGCTAGGGTCCAAATGGGTGTGCAGCTCACTGTAGCTGAAAGAATGCGCGCGAGACAAGGCCCATGGCAAGAATTAGCGAAGCTTTTCGTGGAAGACTTCCCTATGATCTACAACTTGATGAAGGACCGAGCTCGAGCGAAGGACTTCCAACTCACTCTGTCTTGCTTCAGCCAAATTCTGGAAGTACAGCATCCGACTCCTGCGACTGGCATTCCAATGCTGAGGACAAGCCACAGTTTGATCCCGAAAATGCTGAACAACACCGGCGCTGTAGACGATGCGCTCAAGTCACATCTTGCAAGCGTCTGGACCACCTTCAGAGACCTTATTGCCTTAGATCCCGACACTTTCACGAATGCCGACAGGCATTTGAGTGGTGTACAAACCTTTGCGCCCATCGAAATGGTGGCCGTCGCCGTCCTTATCTCTATGTATTCGGAAACGCGCAACGATGAACTATTGCTAGGCGATATCAGAGCGCTTCGAGAAGCCTTTCGCGAGCACTTTAAAGACCTTCGATTGTCTGCGCCAATGTGGAAGTTTGCCTGGGACTTTATAGAAAACCTGGAGGGAATTCGAGGTGCGGTAGATGGCATTACGATAGACCGTAACCAACCGGCAGAGGCTCCAAAGCCGACGCCGTCTACTTCAAGAACGAAAACACTATCGTCCCCTACTTCCGCCGTTTCGAGGAAAAGGGTAGCACCCCTGGACAAGCCGCTGTCCATATTGCCACCACGCGATTCGATCATCGCGAGGGAGGAGACACAACCTATTCCCACAGCGCCGAAGCGACAGCGGACTGATCCCGGGCCATCAATCGCTCAAGCAGAAGTCAATAGTCCCATATGTGACATGAACGGACCATCACAAGTCGCCACTGCAAGGAACGCTCCTTCGGAGCGAGTGCGCACAGCTGCGGCACCGACAAGATCTCCCACAATGGGTAACATTTTCACAGATTTTGGTTCTCAACAACCATCACCTGTCAGCGCAACTTCCGCTTCGCCACGTCTATGGCGTGCAGGCGAAGCGCTACAGCTGAATCCAGCCTTGACCAACTCGCCACAAACTGGGCCAACACGCACAACGTCGGGATCACCGCACCAAACTTTGCAGAGACCAGGAAACGGACATGGAAATCAAGTTGTACCGGGCTCTGCGCCGGCAGCGAGAGGTGCTGCAGAACAAAGCATACCACCGCGACAGTCCCGAAACGATACTATACATACTTCGCCCTTCGACCCTAGGCCTGAACCTCCTCAAACCGACTATCCCGACTATTATATTCCAAATTTGTCGAACGCACCTATGCAAGCATATCACCAGTCTCGCTTACCCTTGACGCAACTATACGCTACTCATACACCTTTTACACCGGAGCACACACCTCCCCCGATCCAGCAAGCCCGTGTGCCTGACTCTAGAAACCACCCTGCACCGGTAGCGCAGATGCAGCCGCCTAGACTCTCCCATACAACTTCGCGGCAAGTTCCTCAAACAAACCAAAGTTTGCAGAACGGCACACAATTGTTGTCCCGACCCTCAAGCGTGACCCAAGCTCTTCCGACGAGTAGAGGAGCATTCGCACCCACTCATACGGATGCGCAATGGGAAGGAGTTATCGCCACTGCATCCCCACGGATGCAGTCTCGGCAGCTTGGTCAAACTCAACAAGGGGCTTCTTCCGCAGCTTCGTCACCAACGATACCGACCTCGGCTTCAACTATCGCAGCGTCACAACCAAGCGGCACGAAGCGGAAGAGCGTTGCCCGCCCGACCCCTGTTCAGTACGATGGAGTCATTGATCTAACGAGCGATGATGAGCTTGAGGAAGAACGCCAGAACCTTCTATCTTCATTCAAGGCCAAAACAGCTCGAGCAAAGCAACCTCCAGCTACAGCTACGACAGCACCCACACCAACGCAACGAAAGCCGATAGTCATACACGATCTTGACCTTGATGAGGATTATGCGCGTGCGAACAATCCCTACGAAAGGTTTAGGAACAATCCTAGAGCAGGGCTCTCGGGTCCGAGACGTTGAATTTAGTGTTACACTTCCTAAAGCGTGGGGCTCGCATCAGCGAAGCGCAAAAGCATTTTCAGCTATATATTGTAATTAAGCATAATGATACCCCATTTGAGAACAGTGTGCCGTCCAGCTTTGGTTCCCTCATGCCGTAGGATTTATGCAAGTAAGCCGTAAGCGCGAATTGGCAGCGCCACTTTGACGACTTTCTCACAACCACAGATTCTGCATCGTACGTAGCATCCACCTCTAGCATGACAGAATGCGCATCGCGTCCGGACTTCAATATGGGTTCCGAAGCGTTACAGCCCTGGAGGAGACGCGTTCACATGCAATGGAAGACGTCATAGCGCGTTTCCAACCTCGGCATCCGACGACGAAACCCCGTGGACGGACCGCACCGCAAGCTAACGATGGCTTGACGGCCAACAGGATGTGCGCGGGATTGCGACAGTCTCCTGCTTGCGTCAACAACCACGACGAGAGACATACTTCGCGCCGACGTTGACGAGTACCTGCTATATCTTGCGCCATATCGCGAACAGTCTCCACTGCCTCTCACTGCGCGCACGCAGCTTTGCGACATCCACAATCCGCAACTCCAAAAGACCAGCAACATGGGAAAGTCATTCGACCCTGCTAAGGACATTGGCAGTCTGGATGGGAAGGTCATTCTTGTCACCGGTGGTGAGTGTCCCCCGTCCCGAGCATGAGCGACCGTATTATGCGACTGACACATACACAGGCAATGCCGGCTTAGGCAAACAGACCATCGCATACCTGGCTGCCCACAACCCCACGCGCATCTACCTCGCCGCTCGTACCGAATCCAAAGCCCGCGATGCCATCACCGACATCAAGAACAGCGTGCCAAATGCCTGCGAAATCGTATTTCTGCCGCTCGACCTGACGTCTTTCTCGTCCATTGCCGACGCAGCATCGACGTTCAAGAGTCAGGAATCGCGCCTCGATATCTTGATCAACAATGCCGGTATCATGGCACCCCCATACAGCACCACCAAGGAGGGATATGAGATACAGTTTGGCACGAACCATGTGGGCCACGCGCTGCTCACGAAACTCCTCATCCCGACGATGCTGGACACGGCGAAACAACCCGGGTCAGATGTCAGAATCGTGAATCTGAGCAGCATGGGCCACCAGATGCCGGTATCAAAGGGCATTGAGTTTGACCAGCAAGCGCTCGAGAAGGAGAGTACCTGGCGTCGCTACGGCTCCTCGAAGCTGGCGAACATACTCTTCGCTCGCTCCCTGGCGCTAGAGTACCCTACGATAACATCCGTCTCCCTGCACCCCGGTGTCATATTGACGGATCTCTTCGACAACCTCCGCACAAACATATTCATGAAGGTTGGCCTGTACATCTACAGCATCATCGGCATGATACTGCCGGGTCACTACCAAGGTCCGGAAGGAGGCGCGCTGAACACGACGTGGTGTGCTACGACCGCAAAGGACGAGCTAGAGAATGGAGCATATTACATGCCAGTAGGCAAGAAGAGTTCTGGCAGTTCATTCGCGAGAGACGAGGGGCTGAGGAAGAAGTTGTGGGAGTATACTGAGGCGGAGTTGCAAAAGCATGGGTATTGAGACTGGAACAACTTTGTACTAATAAAAGCGTAAGAGGAACATATATGAAGCCCTGCTCATTGCGATCATGATCTACATGACATGTACAGTATCTACCATTAAACGCCCACACCGACAAGCGCCAGTTCAAACAGTCTCCAACGGCACCCTAGGCAACGCCGTCAACTGCTTCCTGTCACTAATCTCCACTCTGAAGTCCTTTTGTACACTGACCTGCAAGCCATCACCGCTCGGCCGCTGTCCACCACGCTTCTGGTCGCCATCAACGTGTTCCAGGCTCGTGTTACTGTACTCATCCAGATCGCCATAGATCTTTGTTTCAACACCGACACTCTTGGGCTTGCTACCCGAATGCGAGTGGTTCTCAGGTCGCTCGTTAAGCTCCATCCATTGCTTTGATCCTGGACCGGCGCGGATGGAACCCCGAGGGTTTTGCTTCTTCGAGTAGCCGCCTGAAGGGTTTGAGTGGCTTCCAGACCAGGATGAGAAATGCGAGATGAAGTTTGTGAGTAGAGGGCGGCAGGCGGGCAGGTTAGCGACGAACATGCCGACGTTCATTTCTGCGCAAGCCCAAGCGAGGATTTCGCCGAGGTTCTGGAGAAGTCGGGTCGGGTCGTTCAGGCCGATGAGGAACTTGAGGCGGACGATGGGGGCGATGGATGCGCTGTTATATGCGTTAGGGGTGATGCTTGGTGGTTTGGACCCAAATGCGAGATGACTTACAAGATTCCCAGGCCGAGCATGGCCATTACGGAGCTCTTTACGCGCCAGTCGAGTTGGACGTCCCAGAGGAGAAAGATGGGGAGCGTCGCAAAGATCCAATCTGTTGAGATGGACACTACGGCTACGGCGTATGACAGTACTGTCTGGATGTTGCGCCCATTGCATTCACCTTCCATCGTGGGATACCAGTTCTTTCTATTTCCGGAGTTAGTATGGCTACTCTAGGAGGGGAAGGTCGTGAATACGTACTGTACTGGCCTACATTGGAAGAAGAGATACATTCCCGTCCCGCCCATGACGACGAAACAGGATATCATGCAGGCGTAGATGACCATCTCGATCCATTTCTTGCGGTTCGCAATTCGGATCAAGGCGAATCCGATGCTGCACTTGATCGCGACGAGGGTGAAGCACCATGGCTCTTGGAAGACGTAAAACCACTGCTTCTCGTCAGTATACCCTTTCGAACGACTGAGGCGCGCGAGAAAACGACGGTCACACACCTTCAAGGACATGGAATATTGAGACGCGGTCAACGAGCCATCATACTGTCCAACGCCACTCCAAGCCATACCGAGTGTGGCAACTGTGCTCACCGTCCAGACCGGCTGGGTTCATGTCAGTAAGACCCCAATCGTGGATGTGTACAAAACTTACCAAGTTGATGAGCATAGCCCAGTCATCTGGTCCCCAGGCCTTCCTCTTCGAACGAATCCAAAACCGCAAGATGGTCGAAACGATGACGAAGGGTAATGGGACCAAGACCGATAGGGCCATATGGTAAGAAGTCGGTGGCGCCATGGCGTCAATCGAACTTTGGAAGTACCTATCCTATCCTTAGGCGCGCGTAATGGTCGAACTGAACAAAGAGGAAGAAAGCAACAATAGAGTTCACTGATCCACACAGTGCAAGCACCGGGCATGCAAGAAAATAAGAATACGCAACGAAAGGCTGGCAAAAAGGAGCGCCACGATCCCAACAGTATGGCACTCGTCCACGAGCCTTCTTCCATCCCAGCTCGATCCGTAGGCCACAAAAACTCTCGGCGCCAACCATCTAGGGTTCGCCCGGATGAAGCCGTACGAGTTTAGGATTAACAACGGTAGCGGAGAGGCGAAGCGGCACAGGCTTCCTAGTGCCGGCACTGTTACCCGTCTGCAGTAGTTCCCGGTTCGTTATATGTCCGATGCTCTTGGGAGCTGTTGATGCGCGGGACGACGACCCTTCGGAGTGATCGCATGTTCTGGCAAAGCTAATGTCCGCTCCAGGAGGCCAGTCCGCCCAGACGCTGTTGGAATGAGCCTACTTAGGTATCTGCAGCATTCCTTACTTTGTCATTCGGTATAGTTGCAGAGATGGCAGACAGTCTTACGTATCACCTTCACATGCGCCGATGTATCTCCAAGAACGAGTCCAGACTCTCGGTCTTGTGCAAAGCGGTGGAGCGGTATAACCTGCTACGTCTGCGCGCGAATCCCGTTTCAAGATTCTTCTGCACAAGGATTGGTACATCGCCGCGTACTGTGCGTGCGGGGGTGTGGAGCATGCAGGAGTGTCGTATTGAATCCATACACTCGGATCTCGACCAGAGATGAGGTGGTCCCAAAGTACCTAGATATCAATTCAGAACTTGGAAATCTAGTATAAGGAGAGAAAGGGGAATATCAACTATATGTGTGCCAGTTATGACTATCCTCATAACATGGCGTGAGGAATACGGTCTGCCAATGCTCGGTGTATGCGTCGGCACAAGATGGAGCTACTTCGGGGAATTTCTATCGAGACCCACAGCACGAAATAACGGTCTCCACCGCCAGACATTCCTCTACGGATCCTGGATGTTTTACATAGTCAAGGGTTCCCCGCGACGCCTCTGCCGTGCAAGCGGTGGGCGTTGTCACGACTACTTCCATAGATACATGTACAGGTCTCTTACCCAGGTTTCAACATACCTCAGCACATAGCAATTTCCAAAATGTCAGCACCCAGAGTCTTTGAAGGCAAACTTGCCATTATTACCGGTTCTTCGCGAAGTATGTTCTGCAACAAGCTCGCAGTCTTCTACGATGGCGATGTAACGACGTACCACTTGATTAGTAACTGACGTGCAACTAGGCTTCGGCGCCACACTTGCCACCTACTTCGCCTCGCGCGGAGCTAACGTTGTGATCAACTACGCAACATCGGCGTCCGATAAGATCGCGACTGACTTAGCAAACCATCTCTCCACGACCTACAAGATCAACGCGCTCCCCGTACGCGCCGATCTTCTTGACCCTTCCGCCCCGCAAACCATTGTCAATGCGGCAAAGGCTCACTTCAGCAACCCAGCGGCCACCCCTTCGTTCCAGATCGACATCCTGATCAACAATGCCGCTGTTGTGAATGCGCAGCCCATCCAGGAGCTCGATCCAGAACTCTGGGACCAGACGTTCAACATCAACTGCAAAGCTCCTGCGCTGCTCATCAAAGCTGCGTTCCCCTACCTTCCTCACGATAGGTCTGGTAGGATCGTCAACATCTCATCCGCGACTACGACATGGGGCCTGATCCAGCAAACATCCTATGCTGGCACCAAGGGCGCCATCGAGGCCATGACGCGTGTGTGGGCGCGCGAGCTTGCTGAACGCGCGACTGTTAACAGCGTGAGCCCTGGTCCCATGGACACCGGTCTCTTGAACGGATTGCCCGAGGCGCCGAGGGAGGCGCTGAAGATGTACAACGCGTTGATCCCGTTGGCGAAGGAGAGACCTGGTGTAGACAGCGAGGACATGTTGAGATTGGCAGGCGAGATTGGTGGTAGGCCCGGCACGCTCGAGGAGGTGGCAGGTATCGTTGGTATCGCGTGCTTGCCGGAGAGTGGCTGGATGACGGGTAATCAGCTGGGCGCGAGTGGGGGCGGCGCCTTTGTGAGATAAGCAGATCTTCATCAAGATCATAGTGTGACTGCTGGCGGCTCGACACATTATCTAGCAAAGTATATACTTGGCATCACGCGAATTTTAGTAGGCCCTCGTCATGTTTCGAACCCCAGGTCGTGATAGTCGTGCTATTATCCTAAAGATGCTGCTATGGCTCCACATCCTAGCTCACATGTATGTCTTTGGTCACTAATATATCCTTCGACTCGCTACCCCGGCCCTGATTCGATGGGATGACGCTGTCAGAGCTACGTGCTCTCCCAATAGCCCAGGAATGGGACTCATGGTCGTTCGACAATCGAGACGATACCCTGATCGTTGTCTCGCATCCGCTCTTATACTGTCCTAGCTCGAACTCTTTACCGAACTCTTCTGTCTGCCTCGCATATCCCATGGACCCTGGTTCTCGAAAGCTGAAACGCGGTGTTGTCGTAGGTTGACTTTGCGCAACGGAGCGCGCAGCTTCGAGGAAGCGGTTGCAGAGAGGCTTGAGTGAAGGTAAAGAGGCTGCTATAATACCAACATCGAGCTCGATGAAGTTCCACATGGAGAATGCGTCATGCACGAAGCGTTCGGGGTCGTTCATGATGGTCTTGCTCACACGGGCCTTCATAATTCCAGCCACTGATGCGAATATGCCGAGGGAAAGAATGAAAGCTAGCAAGATCTTGGTGCGAACGCGAACTTGCAAGTTCCAAATGACCGGGATGGGTAAAAGCGCTAGTAGGAAGTCGGTGGCAATGTTGACGACTGAGAGTATTTAGCAAAGTCTCAGATCAACTTGGTTTGTATACTACTTACTCGAGTTGAATAAAGCAATTTGGCCGAAGGTACTGATACTGAAACACAGTGCATCACCGGTACCTAGAGGTGGTGGACGAAGTCTGAAGTCCCATATAGCTGCTACCGGAAGGCACATGAAAACCTGCAATGGCACTTCGTCAGCACTCTCCAGTCACATGACGTATGCAATGCTTTGCTGCATCGCATTCCTGACAGCTAAAACTCACTAAAAAATCGTTAGCTTGATTCGTAAGTGGCATAGTAAGAGACCATACCGAGGGTTCCAGTGCAAGCAATGATGAACGCGACCAGAAACACGATCAGGCTGTACAGGAAATATATATGATTTCTTTGTACAGCCAATCGGAGGAGCATATAGCTCACAGAGATTTTGACCACTGTTACGCCTGCTGTAACACAGACTTGATGTACCAGGCGAATTTTGAGTAGCTGACGGTACTTAGGTGGGTCTAACTGTATGACAGCTAGATGCTTCCCAAGTCCTAGAGGCACTTCCGATATGTAACAGCCGAACGCTATTGTTGCCAAGATCTTGACCATCTATGATCAGCATTGATTCGTTGGGCGGATGATCGAATAGTTCCGCACCATTGACACGAGAATAGTCCAGTCGTCTTTGCCGAAGGCTTTGAGCATGACAAGGCGTACATAGCAGCGAAGCAAGGTGACAGCCAAGGCAATACCAAATATCGTACCTGCTTGTATCATCAAATTTGACGCATTACTGTACGAGATTTCCGCATCCGAGACAGCAGTGTGCTGATTCATGATGAAAGAGGGTGAAGGATAGTGCTATGGGATGGAGATCAAGGACATCGGAAAGATATGAAAATTAAGGCTGAAAGATCTAGAGATACCAAAACCCATATGTACCACCGACTTGCATGTGGCACAGCGGTCCGCATGGAGAAATATTCAGTCCATTCCGCACGACTAGGTGTGTCGACCGTTCCTTTGGAATCGCATCCCACGGTTCTCCTTCTAGACTCGGAAAGTGACAGTGATAGATTGTTTGAAACCCCAATAACCTGCTGTATATTGCTGTGCGTGGCGTGAATCCCGAGGCGCCTTGATCAAGGCAATTTGTATCCCCGCCGCGGGATGCTCATGGTTAAGCTGCGAATCACGGCCCTCTAAAGGAACGGCGACCTTGCCATTCGAGGACTCATGTCTAAGCGACCCGTCTCGAAGTACCTAGGTATCGTATCTGGTCTCGACTTTTGAGGGCGAGTGGGTGTGCGCAGCAAGAGGCGGGACGAACGAAGGATGCCACCCAAGCACTAGGCGGGATAGCGAGAGCGCATCATATCGCCAAGCCGCTACCCCAATGAAGCTGTCACCCCACCTCGAGGTCTCGATTTATCTACTCCAAGTACGAACAAGCAATGCCGTAACCACAAACACTTTCCGCGCGCATCACGATGGCCACCGACTGTTCAGATGGCGCCTTTGTCGATGACCGACGTGTTCCAGCTACCAAAACGATTGTTCGCATGTGCCAAGTATTCCGGGCGGATCGCGGTAGAGCTCCGGCTGGGCGCACCCCTTGCGGATAAAGCCACTTGCTGCAGGATTCTCGTATGCGTGCTTGCGGCACAGCAACGACCTTGGATCAGGCCTTCGACAGTGCCCATGAAAAATCTATGCGGCTCGGAGATTGCTGCCGACCTGCCATCTGATCCGTAGCTCAACGAGTAGCAATACTGATGAGAAGGAAATAGTCTTCTTTGTTTCGACCATATCACGCTTTGATGTAGCGCGACTATGACCCTTCATACACGACGATTTGACATGGCCCGGTCCGCGGGAACTATGCCACGGGGCGTCCCACCTATCTAATTTCAGCCGCGAACGCTACCGTGCCTGCTTTACGCAAGGGAGTTGCGCCACCGAGGCCTAAGGCCTGCACTGAAAGACGGCGGGATTCTTCCGAGCCGTCATATCCCATGCACGGAACACTACTGCCATATGTAGAAACCAAACGGATCTAAGGAGGCGAGCGCTGCTGGGCTTCTGGAAGGTCCAAGATGGTAGCAGCCAATGCGCGAATCTGCATGGCGTTAATTCTCCGCTTGGGACATGCACGTACGAAGTTAAGATACAGATAGCGGAGAATCGCACTTCTGACTCGCTTCGAATATAAAGTCGGCGTGTTGAGTGTTTGTATATTTGTTTACCTTCTTCGACATCACATCTGCCAGAAAAGACATCCGCAGATCTTGTCATTCACCTCCGTCCTCATGAAAGTTTCAACCCTAACAGTAACCGCTCTTTTCGGCAGCATCAGCGCCACTATCATCGGCAATGATGTCTTGGCTGCTCAAGCACTCGCAAAGCTTTCCATCAATGTTGCTCAGAACGGGTACCCCAACCCAGGAAAGTGTACACTAAAGAACGTTGCCGTTCGACAAGAATGGTAAGCACAGCGTACGGGTAATTTGCACCGATTGAGCTGATCCAATGCCAGGTCGACGTTGTCAGAGCACCAAAAGCTCAACTATATCGATGCAGTCAAGTGTCTGGGCAAGAAACCAGCAAAGACCCCAGCCGCGATAGCATCAGGCGCAAAGAGTAGATTCGACGACTTCATTGTCACGCACATTCTGCAGACAATGAACATCCATGGAACGGTACGTCCGGAAACTATCGCAACAGGGGTTTGACTGATGAATCCCAGGGAAATTTTCTCAGCTGGCATCGCTACTATATCTGGGTTTACGAACAAGCTCTTCGCAACGAGTGTGGCTATAAAGGCTATCTCCCGTACAACAACTGGTCCAAGTGGGCAGCAGACCCGCTCTCATCACCTCTCTTTGACGGCAGCAAGACCAGTATCTCCGGTGACGGCGAATATGTGGCTGGACGAGGATCATGGTGCATCCCAAACGAAGCGCGCTGCATGGTTACTTTCCATTCAGCAAATGGCGGGGGCTGCATCAAGTCTGGGCCATTCAAAGAGTACGTTGATCAAACCTGAACTAGATCGACAATTGGCTAATTGGAACAGCTGGAAGATCAACTTAGGCCCTATCCAAACGACAGTCAAAGACGCCCCACCGAACCCGCAAGCCGATGGCCTTGGCTACAATCCTCGCTGCCTAAGTCGCGATATCAGCACACAAGCGTCGAACGAGACACGAGATGAGATGGTCGTAGACCTGATCAAGAACTACCCCGATATCCTCAGCTTCCAGAACAAGATGCAGAACTTCACTCAAGGGGTTATGGGCGTTCATAATGGAGGGCATTACACGATCGGGGGTGATTCTGGAATGGATATGTATGCTTCACCCCGCCTGGGCACTATCGATAACACAAGACAAGTACTGACTAAACCGCAGGTTCAACTCGCCAGCAGACCCAGCCTTCTACTTCCACCACGGCATGATCGATCGCGTTTGGTGGACATGGCAGAACCTCGATTTGAAAAGCCGGCAGAATAGCATCGCGGGTACTATGACTTTCTTGAACAACCCACCGAGCCGCAATGCGACTCTTGATGACGTGCTCAGCGTGGGGTATGTCGGTCCACCGAACATCACCATCAAAGACGCTATGAGCACGATTGCAGGACCCTTTTGCTACGTGTATGCTTAGTTCAGATGGTCAATAGTATTGAAGAGCAAGTTCATAGGCTCGAAGTGCTTGTATGGCACCATGGATGCTACATCGCACTACATCCTGCCTGTCATTGATGCAAGAAAGTGATGCATTCCGCAGCATCATCGTCCAGCCCACACAACTCGTTGAAGTTCCCAGCTTCCTCTCCCTTCTTTTTTGTTCTCTTGGCAAAATCTGCCAGTGGACAACTCTTCCCAGGGCCACTATCGCAGCCCGGTATAGCGGTAATGCCGTCGTTTATATTGAGTCTGACGAACTTCTCAGGTGATGATTCGCGTTTAGTCTTGCAGGATAGCAGCTCGAAGATGATACGGCCGCCCATCGGCGACACCTGAGACTTCCGCCATTTCCGATCATGGGCGATGTGAGTGATGGGAAGGTGTTCACGGTCATTGATGACATCGAGCGCAGTCATGAGCGGCGCTATATCGCCATCATGGACACTTGTGTTGAGTCAGTGTTGCTCGCCCCAACGGTTTGTAGCCTCCATAGTTCGATGAAAAACTCACAAGCTGAAAAAGAATGGGCCAGCGCTTGGGCCCTCAAGTAGCAGGTTCGTTGTAGCATTCAACCACAGCCACCCCATACTGGTGGCATACCTTTGACCTGGACCTGCGCGATAATAATGCAGTATGTCGCGCGCATATTCAAAGCCGAGGAACTCGTCTCGCGTGAAGACATCACACCAGTCGCTGCGACCGCGTACTGTCGTCTCGAAACCACACATCTCCTGCATAGCGTAGATTTCGTGGTCGTCAAAGCTCATGCCTGTCTGGTTGAGTAGTCGTTGGCGGATGGCAGGCATATATGTGGCCCGGTACTCGTGCATCAGACGATAGCCCTTCTGTTGGCCTTCTGGTTTGTCTTTCTTGTTGGCCAGACATGTTCGTCCAGGCGTCAACGTATCTGCACCAATCGAAGAATGTTCAGATATGACCTGAAGAGTAGCTATATTGCTAGTGGTATAGTCGATGCCGAAGAAGCCTGCGGCGAAGTGCTTAGCTGTCTCGATGACGCGATTTGAGTCGCTGGCCCAGAATGTAGTGGGCTTATTGGAAGGAGTGAAATCAGCTTGTTCCAGAAGATGCTGGTAACGTGTACGCAGACGAATGCCGGTGGTGAAAGAGGAAAGTATACCCGCGAAAGGCCCAGTAGTTGTCAATTGCTCCAGCTGGGTATCGTCTGAAGACCAGAAGAGCTCCCAATCATTGAAGAACGCCAAATTGCCCTCAAAAGTCTTGTTACTGTCTTTCATGCGCTGAACGACTGCTTTCTGTTTCCTACCCGCTTTCTTCGTAGGATAGCGCTCAGCATGCCTAGACATCATGTGAACTTGCACCACCTCGCATCCCTCCGGCGGAGCAACACCGCCGTCAAGGACATCGATGATCTTTTCCACCCATGGCCCGTTTCCGCCGAGATGGTACAAGATATTCCAAGCTTTTGTCACAGCTCCTGCACCGAGGCCGTGGTCGGTCTCCACGCCATCGCTTCGCTGAGGATGAAACCAACTATCCCAGCTCGAACTGTGAGGCTTATCGGCGCAGCCATCGCCAAGATATTTGGATCGAGATACTTCCATGTTTGATCGGCATGATGAAGGGCATGTGGTTAGGCCGAGCGCAGAGAGAACCGAATTTGGGTATATACTCTGCGCAATCGATACTACGGCCACGATGATTGCTGTCAAGGCAACCCATTGCGACCGCGAAGGCATCGTGGCCCGGGAGAAGAATGTTGATGTGTGTTATGCGAAAGAGCGAGGATGATCAGAGAAAGTCATCTTCGTTGACGCTCGATGACAACACGGCTCGGGCGGTGAGACTCTCAAACGCTCGTTCCTGCCCAAGAGTGGGTCGCAGTCCTTGCCCCAACACTCCATATCTCTTGAGTATATGCGTCGGCATACTTGCAGTTGCTTTTCGTAGGGTATTGGCTCGGCTGTGGTGCGCAACGCTTGGTTCCTTCCAGTTGAGAAGAACGCGGGCGCGTCACGTACGATCAATGACGCAGGGCGCGTGGTGGGCCTCGGCACGCCCATCGCTCTCCAAGTTCCCGTCGCGCCTTCCGCGTCGCTCCCACCGCGTACACAAACGACTGCGCAGGTGCCCTGCAGTCTACAATGATCATGAAGACGAAGCTCGACGACAGGTTTAGGAAATGTAGACTTCTGGGTTAAACATAAGGCAAAAACTGTGATAAAAGCTATATACTAATCTTCATACTCAGCTTCTTCGCGACTTCCCGCACCTTCTCCACATCCACACTCCTCGTCTGATCCGGAACCACCTTCCCCTCGAAAGCGCCTCCAGCCTCTGCAATCAACGTCTCCAGCCCATCCCCACTAGCATACGACCAGAACCTGACATAGCGATCCACAAACTCCACCGCCACCTCTGTCCCCGCTGGTATAAATGCCGTCTCACCCGCCCGAACCAAATGCCCTGCCTCGCCGTCCACCGTGAGCGAAAGCGCCCCATCGAGTACATAATATACCTGATGTATCTTTTCAACCACAAAACCCTTACTCAACACCGAATTCTTCAACTCGCTCCCTGACTCGATACTCGTGATGGCAAAGTTGCCTGACGGCCCTTTGCTCTGTTGCATGGTGATAAAAGGCCTGGATAACACGCCCTCGAGTAGGAAACACGGTCCAGTGTTCGCTTTGAGGAAATACGCTTCCTGCCCCTCTGGTAATACACACTCCCCCTGTTCGAAATCCGCTACCTCCGCACCTTGAAACTGCGGTTGGAAAACCACATCGAACCGTTCTTTGATCTCGCGTATCTTAGGTCCAAAAACAGCGCCTGTATTCCTATCGTCAAACTCATCACACAGCACACCGCCATAATCCTCTCCCACGAACCGGAAGAAATCAACCCAATCCCCCGGCGTGACAAGACCCATCGATTCATTAGGTCCTTGGTCCAGTAATTGCGGCTGGTGCACCACACCAGGTGGCACGTAAGCAAAGTCTCCCGGGTAGAGTATTCGGCACTTATCCCCAGCCCAGATCTTCAATCGTCCTTTTGTGCACATGAAGACGTCGTGGGCGCGGTTGTGGTAGTGGAAGCCTGGGGGGTCGGACAGGACGCCGTCTTGGCCGAAGACGCTCATGGCGTTGTTCGTTTCGGCGGCGGAGCAGAGGATGCGGAAGACGGCTTTTGTGCCCGGGATGGTGAGGTGTTCGCCTGTGTGGGAGGGGAGGAGGTAGGGTGTTGGTGCTCCGGCAGGGAGGTTGACGCGGGGGAGTTTGGTTCGTTGGGTTGCTGGTTTGAGGGGAGGAGAGGGAGGTGGCATGATGGAGTCGTTGCGGGAGAGGGTTGGGGCGGTTGTCGTCGCCATGTTGGATAGCAAATAGGCCTCTTCTGTGAGAACGCGGAAAGATTGGAGTGCAGGTACTTCGAGGTGAGAAACCTAGTATGGGATTGCATTTCGACCTTTATACAACCACCAGGTAAACATTTACCCAGATGTAGATCTCTATCCCTACATAGCCATCTTGATACCCCATTCGAGCATAGCCATATCATCGCATGATCGACTATACGTGCATTCTCTGCATCAACATCTGCCGAAAGATTCCCAGATCCCGCGATACTTTCCAATATCGCCTATCACAGCAAAGTAATGAACCTTCTTCTCCACAGTAAGCGCTCCACGATCACCGAAACAGGTAACAATGCCTCTATGCAGACAGAAGCGCACGTAGTTAGTCATCATCACAATTGCAAGGCTGACCCCGCTGTAGCGCCTTGCGGCTCGGTATGTGGGGAAGATTTACCGCAACTCGGCAACACAATAAGATCCGCCGACTCCACGCGCAACGGTGTACGATGTTTTACTTGGTGACACATGATTTTGTTTTCAGTTTTGAGTTGATCTGCTCCATGTTCGTCGGTAAGACGATCATTTCGCACTCCGATGTCACCGATGACCGAGTCTGTGTGCGTCCGCAAGATGTGTCGGACACGTTCATGCTGTTTCCTAGAGTTCGTGAAGCAGCAAAATGGATATCTACATTCATTCGGATATCAAGACTACATAAAACAACGTGACGACACCTCAACGCCTCTCCCTTTTTACCATACTACTACCGTAAATGCATCTTCTCATCCCACCTACTTCGGCCCATTCCCCCTCCCTCTAAACCCACCACCACCACGAGCACCGCCCCTACCACGTGGACTCCTCATCTTCTCGACTCTGCCTTTGCCTCTCCTGCCTTCTCCACCGCTCACATTACCGCTCCTTGTGCGTTCCTGTCCTAGACCACGCCGCTGGCTCTTTTGGCCTGCGCCGCCGCTCTTCACACCACCCCTACCCATTCCAGAACCGGATTTCGCCTTTCGCACTTCTTGCCAGTCTGCTTCACCGCCATCGTCGTCCATGTCCATTTCGTCGTCTTCGTGTGTGCGCTTGTTGCTGAACTTGAGACGGCCTTTCTGACCTTGCTGGGCGGTGTCGCGGCCGCGGATGGCGTCTACGTAGGCGTTGATGCCGGCTTCCAGAGATGTGTTCTGGTCGTCGATGTCCATGAGGACGTCTTCGTCGGGTACTTCGTGCTTCTTGGACTTCTTGCCCTTTGCTGGGGCTTCCTCGTCCTCGTCGCCGATGATGAGCTTGCCGTCCTCGTTTGTGCGGGCGTTCATCTTCTGTGGCTGTTTGCGTTGGCGCAGGGGTTTTGTCGAGGAGATGTTACCAAGAGCGTTCTTAGAGAGGAGATCAAGCGGCTCATCCTCGTCTTCGATGATGTATGTGTTGCCGCCCTTTGCGCCTCCCCGCTGTTGCTTGCTCTGGCTCTTGACGAATTCGTCCTCAGAGTCGCCGTCGCTCTCTTCGCTTTCACTGCCGTAAACAGCCTGGTCGTACTCGCTCTCAAACTTGCCCTTGCGCTTTTCGGTGACCTCTTCACCATCCTCTGTAGCTTGTTGCTTCTTCTTCTTGCGCTGTTCGCGCGTCTTGCGGATGTTGGTGATGAGTTTGCGGTCTTCGACAGGTGTGGCGCGTTCGACTTCTTCTACGCCAAACTTTCGGACCATTCTTTCGACGATATGCTTGACCTTGGCTTTGAAGTGCGCCTTGTGTTCGTGACTCCAGACCATAAGGCTCTTTAGTAAGGTGTTGAGACGCGGTCGTACAAGCGATTCTGGTAGCGTGATAACCTCGACCTTGACGAAGCCGAGAACACTGCGCACGATCTCGCGGTTAGGGTTCTGGAGGAAGATGTCCATGAGGTCGCAGAGGTGTGTAATGGACTCCTTAGAGATCTGAGCGTGGAACTGGTAGAGGATGCGAGTGACGGCGGTGATAGACGCAGAGATCATGTGCGGTGTAGTAGCAGCTAGACCGGCCGACACCATGGTGAAGTACTCTTCAAGCGAGGCCTCAACAGTTGGCGCATCGGCGGGCATGTTGGGTACCTTGGCTTGCACAACCTGACCTCCTTCGGCCATCTTCTCACCCATAGCGACAAGCAGATTGTAGGCTGCCTCTCGCGCCTTCTCGTTTGTCTCTTTGGCAGAGATGACTACCTCGGAGAGAATGGCGGGGATGAAATGCAGATCGCTCTGAGGGAGAGATTCGATGACTTGGTACAGCGCGTTGAGTCTGTCGCGTCGCGCAGGAGCAGAGGCCTTCTCTGCGCTTCCTAGCAACAACTGTTGCAGTTCACCGTTGCGCTCTTTCAAAGCTGCCTTGCCCTCCTCAGATTCTGCAAGACGAGGAATGAGCTTGTACGCCTTCTTCTGCAGCTGGGGCTCGTTCTCTCTGTTGATCATGATTTCGGCCATGCGGAAGAGTGAGCGGTAACTATCGCGTGGGAGGTACAGCGCGATCGTGATGATAAGATCCATCAAGGTGTGGCTCATTGGCGGCATCTTGTTTGGGCCCGTTTCTTGCTTCTGCTTAGCAGCTTGAGTTTGCGAGCCCGGCTCAGGCAAAGAGGCCTCAAGGTTAGACGCCACTCGTTCGAAGGTCTCCATGAGCTCGCGCTCGGGTATGATGCTCAGATAAGCGTTGATGGTCCGGAGGATAGTGCCGCGATACTGTGGCAGAGTCTGGCTGTAGACGTTGAACAAGACTGCGAGCATGTTGCTAGCGAAACCGGCTAGATGCTCAAGGTTCTTCTTTGCGTCGGCCTTGGATATCCGGGCTTGCGCGAGCAGATCATCGTCAGACTCCAACTCCACGATCGCCTTGTTGCTATCGACCAAGTTCTGGAGAGCCCGGCAGACGTCCGTTCGTAGATCAGCCTGACCATAGAGCAAGTTTGCTAGCATTTCACAGAAGCTCTGGTCGAAAGCCTCAACCAGGTCCAAAGGCAGGTCGCAGTATCCAGGAAGAATCGACCAAATCTGCTGTACCACTGTCTCGAACACTTTGATCTCCATTGTCTTCTCTTTCTCGCCGTGATCAATGACCTTCTGGTACAACTCCTCACTTAACGGCACCATCTCGGTCCTGAAATGCGCCAGCTTGGTGTTGTGAACTGAATCTCGGAGAAGCGGCAGCATCCAAACTCTTCCGGTTTGTCCTGGGGGTGGGCGCGGTAGGTTCAAAGGAAGAATGTCCAATACAACATCAGGACCCATTGCGCTAATGGCTCTTGAGATGACCGAATCCGCCTCCTTCTTGCCTGCAAAGCTGTCGTTGCCCCTCAAATCTCCAATCACTTTCAACACAGGCTTCAGAATAGGATCTGAGCGCCATCTGAGAGTCTCAAACATGGCAGATAGCACGCTGAAGACCTCCATCCACGCTGCCTGGTATTTGACGCTCAACAGATCTTGCGCAATCTTGGCCACCTTCTCAAGTGTCTTCTCATCGTATACGGAAGGCTCGAGGACGACGCTGTCGGGTACGAGGTTTACGAGGAAGGAGATGAGGCACTCGGAGGCGGAAATGCGGATGTTGTGCGACGAGGACGTGAGGAACTCGGCGATCATGATGAATAGGTCTGGTAGCTTCATGAATGTTTCCTCTGGTTCAATTTGCGCCGAGACTTCGTATCCGCGCGAGATGACTGCTATCCACGGGGGAAGTAGCTGTGAGTCGTTCTTGGAGGGCTGTAGTTCTGAGATGACCTCAAGTAATCTGGGAAGCTTAGCAGAAGCCAGTTCGTCGGCCATGCCGGCGAAGATGACCTCGAAAATCTCGAAAGCGGCCATGGTCAAAAACTCGTTGGTCGACTTGGAGATGTTCAGCAATAGCTCGCACAGCACGTCGATCTTGCTGCTCGGCCAGCCACCAGACGACGTCGCAATCGTCTTGATGAGCTGTAGCGCGTGGATCAGATCGGGGTCCTTGTTGTCCACGTCTTTCTTTCCCTTGTGTTTCCGCGCCTTGACTGCCGCCTCTGCTGCGATGTCCTTGAGCATCTTCTGGGCTGTCTCAGCGCACATGTCGGCTGCCGGGTGGTCCAGCGCAGGGCTCGGCGGCGGGTTCGCCAGCACCTTCTTCAGAGCCTCCTGCGCCCTCTTCCGCACTTTCGGCCTGTGGTCGACGGAGATCTGCAGCAGACCCGCGACCGCTCTGCGCGGGCTGATGGTTGTCTGTGGCAGCTCCCAGGCGCGCGCATCCTGCACGACCAGCAGCGACTCTAGACATCCTATCGAAGACCGGATCAGCGGCGCATCGGCGTCCTGGGCTGTGAGGGCGGGGGCGAGGTTGGTGAGGATGTCGGTGAACTTGCTTCGCAGCAGCGGTGCGGGGACGTTGGGGGTGACGAGGTCGAGGAGGTAGATGGTGGCCGTCGCCGTGTCCTTGTTGGCGATGCCCTGATCGGTGATCTGGCGGCCCAGCAGCGACAGCAGGGCGGCAAAGTAGGCCGTCGGGGTGAACTCTGACTTCTGCTGGCGGAGCGTGTCTTCAATGGCCGAGAGCAGCACATGCGTCTGGAATGGTTAGGCTACAGCGGCGCAGGAAAGGGAAATGACGACATACGTGCTGCTGGCCCTGCAGCTTCGGGCTGTCCCGGATCTTGGTCAGTCTCTCCTCGAGCGACATGACGGGCGTGGTTGTGATAGTTGATTGCGCTGCGCTGCGACATTTCACATTTTCGGCCTCGAAACTTTTTGACATGACAGGGATCTTGCCGCACGCTATCGATAGCCCGCACGGCCCCAACCCCCACCGGCTCCACCGCTTTCACTCACTGCACCCAGCACCCACGTCAGAGACAGCGTGTCGATTCAAGTGTATATTGCAATCGCTGGCTTTTCGCAAGGTATCATGCGCTAATCCGCACACGAAGACAACTAGGGTATAACAAAAACATCGCCCCTCCTTGTACAAAATATGCGTGCCTCGCAGGTATCCCATACGAATGTGCCCATCGAACCCTTCAAGTCGCCGGTCGGCCCGCTATAGTCCCAACTCTATTGAATCCAAAGCATTAGACAACGCGAAGGCTGCCGCGAATACAAGACAAACGTCATGTGCAAAAGTGATTAAACAAAGAAAATAAACCTCTACTCCTCCACCAGGGTATCATCCACGCGTCCCCGCACACTGCTCTTGCTGCTCTTCTTCGAGATGTTCATGAAGCTGAGCCTCTTCTTTACGCTGTCGGTCCGTGACGACAGCGACTTGTCGCTCTTCTGACTCTTAATCGTCTCTGGCCGCTTTAGGCTAGGCTGTCGCTGGAGACTGCCTTCGCTTCGGTTTGGCGTAGACTGGCTAGGAAAGCTCGGTAACGCCTCTGGTTGTGGCGAGCTTGGCGTGTGGTTGAGGAAGCTTAAGCTCAGACGATTCCTGGTATGCGTCTCCTTGCTGCGACTTCGTGATGACACTGTCGTCGAAGTGTCATCATCCACCGATGGCTTGTCAGCCTTTGCTTCCTTCTCTTTCTCCTTCTCCTTCTCGGGTTCACCCATGAGGAACTCCTTTGTCAAGAAGGCTAGACTCAGTCGCTTCTTGTCTTGTCGTGAAGCCCGACCGTTGAGTACCGGTGAGGCACCCCTGTCACCGTTGACTTGACTCTGATCGGGCGTGGGGCTGGCAACTTGAGAGCGCGAGGTGGCCGCTGCAAGCCATGACCCGGTTGGAGAACGTAACGTCGGGGCCATGTTCGGTGGCAGAAGCGTGGATAGTTCGCGGAAGAAGGCCGATTCGAAGCCTAACATTGTCAGTTACCAATCAAAGTGTAGTGAAGACAGTACATACGCTGCGTGAGGTCTGACTTCGTGGCTTGCTGAGCAGGCCTCACGTACAACGACAGGCAGCGACGGATAACCAGAGCGTAGTCAATCAGTGCAACCCGCAGTCCGTTCTCAAGCGGGTTCGGCTGTTGCTTCTCATCATCGTCTTCCTCATCATCTTGTGCATCCGAGGGTGGAAGCAAGTCATGGTAGTTTGCAACGCAATCTTTCGAGTTCGTGTCCACGGCGTACATGAGTTCTTGCGTCAGTGTGTTGAACGTTGTGTCGTCACCATCGGTAATTCGTTTCTCAATAGCAAGCAGCTCCCCAGTCTTGCGTGATGTTCGCTCAATGGCCATTTGTAGGGGTGTGAGCATTACTGTACCAACCGCTACAATCTCGCTCCTCCGCAGGATTGTAGGGAAGTTCTCCGCTGTCGTGTAAAGAGTCTTCTCCGCGCCGGCGTCCCTGGCGTTGACAGTGGATGGTGACCGGCGAGAGGCTGATGTGAAGTGCGATGGGCGAGACAGCAGGTAGTAATCCTTGACTGACTGGGAGACCTTGGCTCGTTGATAGATCGGATGAGTCAGGTCCTTCTGTGGGCTTACAGGGTAGATCTGCAGGTACTGCCCCTCCAAGTCTTGCCCGTCACCGGGGTTCACGATTTGTGCCGAAGGGTGTTGTTGTTGCATTCGGTCCGTGAAAGATGCCAACCGGTCGTTAGCGGAACCTTCAAAGATGAATTGCTTGTCCCGAAGCCCTGGTGGGAAGCCCAAGCCCTTGTATACCACGCGGAAGTAACGCGGGTTGGAGCGCTCGCCCTTTGCAATGTTCTCGTGGATCTTCGCCATAGCATGCTGAGTCCTGGCCAACTTGGCAAAGTCGAATACATTGTGCTCGTATTGCGCCGCAAGCTCCGTGTAGGCGGCCAACGCATTGTTCCAAGACTGTCCAGTCTCGTAGTGATCGATCATCTGGAAGTAGAGCTGTTCTTTCCGCTCGAACGCAGGCTGTGGCGGCATGCTGGGGTCGGTGAGCGGATCCGTGGTCGAGTTCGGATCCCATTCGTAAAGCTCGGCATGCAGTCTGAGCGCAAGGCCTGCCTCGGTGTAGTTTCCTGCATCCACTTGCAGTTGCACTAATTGATGCACATAGCGGATGTAGATGTCTTCCTTTTGCATGTCTTTCAGGAACTCCATAAGATGAAGAGTGTCCATAATATGGAAGACTTCGCCAGCCGCATCCGTGCTATGCACAGCAACCAGGAGGTCCAGGAGTTCATCGATGGTCGAGATAAGGTCCTTCAAAGCGGCGAGTAACGGTTCTTCCGGATCCTGGGCAAGAGGCTCGAATAGTTCCACTAGCTCCTGGATAAAGTGCTTTTGCAGAACCGCCTCAGTTAGATGTTTGGTCTTGAAGAGGTTGTCTAGGCAGTCGATCATCTCCGCTTGTATGAGAGCGAGGTCTTCGCTCAGCGTCCATTCGCTGATGATCATCGTTTGTAGAACCTCGATGGCTACACTGCGGAGACCCTCATGCACGCTGAGGCAGAGTTCAACAATGGGTGCGACGAGGCCTGGCACATATTGCACTTGGAAGCCGCCCATCTTCTCCAGCCCGTACTGGCCCTTGTCCTCTGCACTAGCCTCCCAACCAATCGCTTCCCAACTGCGTTGTAGCAGATCCGCACCATGTTCGCGGACATCGCCAGCGATTTTCCACACGGCGCGTCGCTTCTGCTCCGGGAAGGTCTCCAATGCAAGAGCGTCGCTACCGACAAGTTTCAGTAACGCATCAAAGAACGCTCGCCACAGCTCTGTGTTGAAGCTGTCTGCCTCGTCGGGAAGAGGAAGGAAAGAGTCGTGCAGGATGTTGAACAATTTCTCCAATGCGCGCATGGTAGCCTTATGGTGATAGATGTGCACACTGAACCACGAGCTAGGGTAGGCTTCGCAATCCAGAATAGAGATGTAGACTTGCAGTACCGAGAACAGAAATTCTGCTGTTTCCTCCTTGGGTAGTTCCGGGTGCAGGAGCGTAGGAAGGCTAGACATCGCCGCAAGTACTGCTGATATCTCCGCCAGTGCTTCATCGAATGGAGTTTCAGCAGTCGCAGCCCGCGACTGGAATGGATAGCTTGTTGGGAAGAGTAGCGAGAGTGTCTTCTTGGCTGGCCGGGGGGTTGCCTGAATGGCGCGGTATGAGTCCACAAGCTTTGGCATATATTCGCACGCTTCCTTTCCTAGCTCTTCGACTTGCGACGCAACGACAGAACAGCAAAGACGAACTTGGTCCTTCCATTGATCGGTGACGGTCTCCACTCGACCCCAGTACGGCGCTAACCACTGGACAGTGCTTGTCAGAAGCATGCGACGTACTTCTGGAGATTTGAATATCTGGAGACCGGAGAGATGGTGGATCAGGAGAAGCTTGTACAGAATGAGCTTTCCCTGCACATTTGAGCAAGAATCCAGGAAGCCAGCCGTCAGCTTGAAGACCTCAGTAGCTGGCATGCATCCCTCGAGCTCCGGAAGCCAGGAATGCAAGTTTTGTACAAGGAGAGTCTTGGTACCGATGAGGACGGGCGATGGGTTCCCCATGAGAGCCTCTAACGAGGTGAACAGTACCCTCATCTCCTTACTGAACTGAGTCCGGTCTTTGATGCCAATACTCTCTTCCTTAACCTTCTGCTTTTCTCGCGCATTGACCAGAAACTTCATTATGAGGTTGCCGACTTTGAAAGTTGCGCGCAGCCGTCGTGAGCTTTCAGAGTCTGTAGGCTTGGCGAGTAGACGGCCCAGACTTTGCATGAGACATGAAGTAACGAGAGAATGGAATGACTTGGTCCGCGCATACTGATCCACCAATGGCTCAAGGTTGAAGCGTCTGTCGTGCACTATACCCAGTACAATGACAACAGCATTGAAGACGAGATCCTCGTACTCATCGCTTCCGGCATAATGGCTTTGTATAGCGAACAGGGCGTCAAACACTTCGCTCAACAGCTTGACGATCTCAATCTCCGGAACGAAGTTAAAACGGCGCAACAATCCTACAAGCTCTCCTGGCGGTTGTTCCTGCCATTTGATGAGACCGAGTATGGTCGGGTCTTGGGAGTATCGGGTACTGCAAAGGAACGTCTTGACGTGGACAGATGCCATTGGACCCATGACATGGTCATCCTTCTTCTTCGCACTCCAAGGCAGGCCAAGGTATGCTCCCTTTCCAGCGATCATGCCCGAGGTGTATTCATCGTATCTGTACAGCGTCAAAGCATGGTCGCCATCGCGGGCGAAGGCATCCTGGTTCCAGAGGGGCATCCAGCAAAGCGCGAATGGAAATCCGGGGGCATCGGCAATGCTCATAACCAAGTGTGATCCGGGAACATCCTGGGGGTCGATAGCAAGCCGGACTGTCGCGTTCCACCCCTCGCCTCGCTGGGCTGCTGTAGTGCGCCATGCGGTATGGCCTGCACTGTTAGTTGACGGGTATATGCAACCCTCAATGCGCTCCCCAGAGCTCTTGCGGACCTCAATGGTAAGCTGGAGGTTGGTCATCTGAGAGGTTTGGATTAGCGGGACAGTGCCGGTCTTTGGGTGGGCCAGAAAGGCGTTCTTTGGGAGGAAAGGCTCGACGAGCGTGAGGTAGATGTCGCTGCGTGGCTTTGTTGGAGCCCCCGAGAAACCAATCTTGCGACACTGCCTAATGTTGTGCAGCATCGTGGGAATCTTGGCGATGAGGCCCTCGGCGTCTGCATGGACGAAGGCTTTCATGTGTATGGTAAGTCGACTGATAGGCGCGTTCAGCTTGTATTTGCCCGTGGCGCTTGGGTATATTTCTGGCAATACGCTGTCCCAGCCGCCATCACTATCCAAGATGTCTTCTCCAGCTACTGCTGTGCTGTACATCCTGACGGTCTGGTCGGCCTCTGACCGGGCTTGCAGTATCTGATTTACAGGTACCACACCGACTGCGATGGATCTCTTCAGCGTCTTCTGGTCTCTTGACAGAGCGCGTGCTCGCGTGCTTGCCGTTGCGGAAGAGCCTGGTCTCGCATCGGATGTCTGTGATCGGGACTGCTCGAGGCTTGGGCGGTGGCGTTCATCCGAAGAATCTGTGTTTCGTGATTCGGTGTGTCGCGAGTTTGTTGACTCCTTCCTCTTGGAGCCGAACATGACGCTGCGCCTTCCACCCTTGATGCTGCCCTGCTGGGAAGGCTGCACCGAGCCCTTGCCTGGCGGCGTGTCCTTGCCCGTGCCTGCCTTCTCGGCTGCAGCCGGCGAGCGAAGTGGCTCGTTTGTCATCAGCCTGAAGACAAGATACAGAGTAGTGCCGGATCCTGCGCCCTCACCAATGTCGGTCAAACTGAGATCCACCAGCAGTGCGCGAAGTTTGTCATTGCTCAGGGACACGGCTGCTCCATCTCGTCCAGTCAAGTCGAATGAATACGCCTCGGAGAGTGGTTGTGGCGCTGCTCCCGGCGTCTTCAGGCACAGGTACATGCTGATTTGAGCCGCGCCATTGACGACGTCTCCTGTGACATGTTTCAGACTGACGAACAAATGATTTAGGTTGTGCTCGTCGACATGGGCTGTTGGTCGGCTGTCCAATAGGCTCATCATCGACTGCAGCTTCGTGACTTCGATGGCCGAGTCGTCGCCCGTCAGGATGCGGCCGCGCTGCGAGGGGCTCCGTACAATGACGTCTCCGCAGAGCATCTTGTTGCCTGCCACAAGATCCCAGACGGTCGCCTCGCGTACCTTTTCCAGCTCCTTGGCCGTGAGAACCTTGTGCAACAGCTGGCGGCGCGCCGTGTCCAGGCGGTTCACTAGCCGTGACATCTTGTCCAACGAGCCATACTTGCGTGCCAGTAGCAGCTCGTGCACCTTTGTGGAGTGCCATTCGCGAAGGCAGGAGGCGATCTCGTCAACCAATGGCTCCTGGGCGGAGGTGGGTGTCTCGTCGCCAATCTTCAGCATCGGTACTGGCGCGGGCGGTCGTGGGGCGGTCGGGTCGGATATGGGCGAGAGCGGGAGCATCAGTTGCTGCAGATGCTCTTCGCGCGAGGTCCACTGCGAGTGGGTGCTGCCCGCGCGCTTTCGGGCAGACCTGTGGCGTGAGAGTGGGCGGGCCAGGGACGAGGGCAGCGCAGAAACGGCGTCCGTCTTGGAGGCTCGTCGCGCATTCGGGCCAGAGCCTTTGGCAGAGGGAGAGGTCGCACGTGTGCTTTCGGTGGGCGTGACGATGCCGTTGGTCGGATGCGCGTAGTGGCTGCCACGACCCGAGTCGTGTCCAGCGTCCTGGTTCGCCGTGTCTTTGCTCTCTCCCAGGACTTCACGCACCTCGACGCACGATCGCGGGAATATGCCAGAGAAGACGCGTGCCTCGAGTGTCTGGCCCTTCACGCTCGTCAGGCCAGCCAGCAGCGAGGGCGGCGCAACCAGATATCCTCGATACCATGATGCATCCTGGCCGCCCTGCTCAATGATGTACAGCTCGTCGCCGATCTCGAGCGGCAGGTCGGCGGGCGACGAGGGCTGGAAGGGGTATATGCATATTGCGAACGCGATGCGCGGGAGCGGTCTCCAGCTCGGCATGGCACCAGACGTGTCGGGCTATATTGGGGGGAGTCGGCGACAGAGCATCACGAGCAGTCGACGGTAGGATGTGTTTCGGGGGAGCTCTTCCAGAGAGTTTCAGATACGGATGTTGGAGGGCGCGCTGCTCAAGGTGCCCCTGATGAGATTACCGAAGGAAATCTGGGGATATGTCCAAAACCTTATTATGGTAAGCGGGGCACGTCCGACGTTGAAGCAGGGCGAGGGCGATTACAATGTGGCTGTAGTAGTCTAGGGCAGACGGTCGCGTGCAAGAAGAAATTATGTACAGCAAACAAAAGTTTCGACTGCGCAATGTTGATAACCTTCGCTGCACCGTTCGGTAGCAGCCGTGCATGCATGGCGCTCGGGGCACAGGCTTCGTATCATCACCAGCATGGCCCTGGCCTCGAGTGTTGGTATCATCATCACTCGACGCGTTCCATGTCATAGCGCCCAATATACGCGCATCTCACATGCATCGGCCCAACACTCCGTCGCCTTGTCCATCTGTAAGAGGACATCTCAATCTTGGAATCTCGCCGTTTTCGAACCACGTTGCCAGAAGGGAAAGGCAGGGGACGCTACAGCCGGTGTTTAATTGGTGAATAACCTTTGATGCACATCTCCCGCCTGTCTTGGCTTCATTTTGGGCCAACAACCTTCAAAAGCACGTGCGTCTTGCTTTTAACTCCACACCCGGCCAACGTTCATTTCAGACCAGGCGACGGTCCGAGCTCGCTGGATACTTCTCCTACATGACACGAACTGCGAATCTGTGTTCTGCAGTCGTCAGTCTCCCAACCTTCCAGAATCGTCAGCACGCGATCTCCGCGCACAGAGCCACGAGGTGAAACCGCGCCGGTGGAGCCACCTCCGATGGGGCTGCACACGCCGCAAACACGCGCGCGATGTGGCGTGCCATCATTTGGCTGTATGGCGGTGCACTAAGCCAGGCACTTGCCGTTAGGGTACATTGCGGCCACAGCGTCCATCACACGACCGTGAACGCAACCGACCGACCTTAACACCGTTGAACGACCATCGAAACACCGAGCTAATGGTCCACTCAGAGGAAGTGGATCACAGTATGGTGCCCGAGTACGGCGAATGCCCTCCCACTTCACACGTGTGTCGTAAAGGAGTATCAGTGGGGCTACAGGCTTCGGAACCTGGGCCCTGGGAAAACTTCTTACTAAAGTCGGGCTCTAGACGCTCTGATCTACATTAGAGCTTGTCAACGTACTGAGGAAATACAGATCTGCTCTGTACACGTCTGTACTGCAGTAGTCTGCTCGGAACAGTCCCGAGGTCTCCTCTGCAGTCTATGTACCCACTTTGGGATCTTGGGCTGCGAAGGAGGTAGATGTATAGTGTAGGACATGGTCGTAAATATGAAGATCGAGAAATGTGCGATTTGCTTTTCCTGCAGGAAAATGTTTGACAGCACTTACTGACAGAATGTACTGACCCCATGTCGTGAACACGCCAGAGGTTCAATTGTTCATCGGCTTCGAGACTGCACACTGGAGAGACAAGAAGGATCACCAAATCAGCGCAATCGAGCTCCCTAAGTACAGTTGCGACAATGTCAGACCTAGCTCTACGTCCATGCCATCCGCTCCGCGTTGCGGGCCGGCGCGCGCCTATGGACTCAAACTTGCTCATCTGGCGGCACCACATCTGCGCATCACGGTGCCTGGCGATCTTGGCCGACTTGCTTCTCAACTCTCTTTATAATGGTTCAGACCCGGAGAATACAATCTTGTATAGTCTGACAGCTGACGGCTGACATCTTCATTTCCACTACAATAGTAGTCTCCCACGTTTTCCACCCTTCTTTCCATCTGAAACGTTCAAACAAACTGTTCTGTCACCACTTATATCGATCGACACGGACACAGACATGAACATGGATATGCCTTCGGCCATCTCCGCTGGTGCCCACGCACACCTCATGGCATCCATGCGTCCTGGGGCATCGACGTCAGCAATGGATATGTCGGGAATGGCATCGACCTTCTCGAGCAGCACCCGCGTCACACTTTGGTTCACTGAATGGACGACGACGACAACGGCGACCTATGTGCTAACGATCTTCTTCCTCTTCTCCTTGGGCATCTTCAATCGTTTTCTGAGTGCTTTCAAGAGCCAACTGGAGAGAAAATGGAGGATGCAACGGCAGGCCGAGAGCACACCAGAGTTCATACCCAATACGGAGAAACTGGCCAACCACAGTGCCCATGGCCACGCAAGACAATGGAGTCGTGCGCTGCGACAACAGCCTCTCGAACTGGCTGAGAAGGACAGGGAAGAGATTGAGCCTCTAAGCCCAGTCGTACCACAACCAACTGCGGCGGAGGAGACTGGTATTACACGGGGCTCGACTGCATCACGCAAGATGTTTTGGGTAGCGCAGACCCCTTGGAGTCTGAAGAAGGATGGCATAAGCGCTGCTTTGGAATTTAGTCGAGCATTGATCGGCTACGTATTGTACGTTCGTCGAAGAAACTTTTGAGGATTGAGGTACTAATGACACAGTAGAATGCTTGCTGTTATGACTTACAACATTGGCTTCCTATTTGCTGTCACGGGAAGCGTACTCCTCGGCGAGATGGTATTTGGGCGGTACACACGGGGCTCTGCAGGTCTAGCCGAGGACGGCTGCCATTCTTAGTGGTACTTGACAGATACATACGAAGTGTGATGCCCGAAATACAGTTCTGTGACCTTGCGAAACTACGAAGACTAGTTCAAATGTAAACGCAGAATTGCGTTTCCAGTTTTCACATGTGGATAAAGACGACACGATTCCATAATGACAGCAGCGTCGTCGATTTAACACGGTAAACACGAGATCTGTAATTTTGAATATGTTATTCGAGATTCGCGATTGCAATTTGTATTCTCGTGTTTGGTTTATTGGTGAAGTTGCTGATCCTAGCCCTTTACCATCCTCTTTTCGGTCCTCCTGTTCGGTCCTCCTTCCGACGGCAGTCACACCGCATCTGGAGTGGGGCACTTTAGGCAACCATGCTGTCGTGTTTGACGCCGAACAAGAGACACTCACCACAACTTCTGACGCGAAAAGCTTGCCCGACCAAACGACCATGGAAGTAAGTACAGAATTCCGACATTCCATTGCGTGTGCACGTGCCTTCGATGTGTCGCGAAGGCAGCCGGAACGCCGCCGATGAGCAAAACCATCTATGTCAAGAGCGACAGACTTCTGCACCGAGGCCGATTGCCAAACGATTCTCAACCGCATCGCACTTGCTGACTGATTCGCAGGCCCTGCGCTGTCCGTCTGCGCGTATAGCGTCGAAAGATACCATCGTCAATCCACTAGCTCCTCTTCCAGACGAGCTGATCCTGGAAATATGCGAGGTAAGTTACGCTCCGGTCTTTATAAGTACGGTCAAACGATAAGCTTTTTCGTGCAAGCAGATGTGTCGCATACACTGACTTCCGTTCTCACTCATATAGCGCGTTTTCCCGTGGGATGGATCTGAGCGATCAACTTGTGATAGAGCCTCAGCAAGGTCTACCTTTGCCGCTCTTGCTAGGACCTGCAAGTACCTGTATCCCTTCGGCATGCGATTCCTCTATGAGAGCTGCGAGATCTCCAACCCCAGAAACTTAAGCGGCTTCCTCCGCACATTACACGACCATCCTGAAATAGCGTCATACGTTCGCGAGCTGTTGATCGGCGGATCCTGCGACAGGAGTTTTGCAAGTGGCAATCACCTGAGCATGAGCAAGGCAGAGATGACTGCACATATCCGAACATTATCCCTTCCTTACAAAAGCACTTTGGTCGAGGCCGTTGCTCTTCATCCGGAAGAAGTAGAGCTGGCGCTTCTTGTCTTGGAGGCTCGCACCGCTCTCCAAGTCCTTTCCAGATTGCATCACCGTTATAGTAGTCATGCTTACTGCTCTACTACTCCTTTGTGGAAACTGCGTAGGCATGGATTTCATTCAGTACCTGAAGACGATGCAGATACGCCTCATCGGGCCCTCTGGCTTACTCCCTTGCTTTATGCAGCCCAGCAGTATGTAAGTGCACCAGCCGATGCATCAATTGGGTTCGCAAAACTCCGTTTTCTGTCACTCGACATGACAGGAATGCCCATGGCTAAGATAGCTCCTGTATTACATCTACCATCACTCAGGACCTTGGAGCTTCACGACATATCATACGGTGTCCCATCAATTGGCATCGATCATGGGTCTTGGAATATACGTCCAAGGTCGTCTCAGGTGCAAAACATCTCCATAATCTCGCCGTCCGAACCGCCATTAAGTCACATAACACAGTTGTTACAATCATGTGCGACTGTGTCAAGCTTCCGGTGTGATCGACCCGATAAACCCGATGACAACATAGTGGATTGGCATTCCACACTCCTCGAAGCTGCAAGATCCCATAGCGAAACCCTCAAAAAGCTTGAACTTCGGACCGACGACAATGGTGCACTTACATGGACGGATGAATGGCCGCGAAACTATTTCTTATCTGAAATGGGCGAATTGGAAGAATTGGAGTTGCACTACACTGCGGTTGTGGGCAAACAACGAGGAATCCATTACGATGAACTACCGGAGACGCCAGAACCTGCCCGATCGCTCCGTGATCTACTGCCGCCGAATCTGGTCGAGTTAAGACTAAAGTATGATAGATCGGCTATGAACGCCAATGTCGGCTACACCGCGGAGCTACGGGAACTTGTTCAAGACGATCTAAACTTCCCCCGAAAGCTCAAAAAGGTGAGCGTTCAATACGTTCATGACGGTGTGCAGTTCAAATTCCCCTTTTCGCTCCACAGCCTTCAGGCATACTTCAAGGCACATGGTGTCGACTTTCACTATATTGTCAAGTGCGAGATAGACAATGAACGTAAGTGCTTTATATTGCCGTAAGCTCAACACATTCTAATGGCGTTGTTGTAGATGAACTGGACTACTTAGTGACGACTCTGGCTACCATGGGCTACGAAGGCGCTTATATGTGTAAATGGTTCATAACAGATGACAACTTTTGGATGACACCCGAAGAACTGTACGACAGGGTAATGGAAGAGATTAGAGCAGCTGAGAAACGTCACAAGGTGGATTAGCCTGAGGCGACAATAATGACACTGCAACGACGGACTCGGAAAGCTTGGGATTAATTAGGAAGCTGCGCCTAAAAGCTACAACCGATTGAACTGTCTCAAGGTACTACACGCTTCATTTCCAGTTGTCTCCATCCCAAACCACCAAGTGACTTCCCCCGATCGTTGGAGGGGCGATCATACTCATGTCGGAAAACTGTAATCGATTCCATAATTCTGCCACACTGCCAGCCTTCATTGGCATCCAGCCAAAGTAACGTTGCCGACCAACTCGCGGGTTTCGCGAGACATAGTCTTCTGGACGGTAATCGGCATCCACAGCCTTGATCATGGAAGTGGTGGGGTCTGATAGAACTTCGTTATCGGCAAAAAGGAATATTCGGTGTAGGTTGTAGTCCGTATTCATTGGTTTTTCGCCCTCGCCTTTATTGTACAGCTCGCGAAGTTGATCCATATCGAGACCAGCCAGAGCAGGGTCTGAGCGCGCATCGAGGCGGAAGAGCGCCCACAGCTGTTGGAAGCCAGGGTCGTCTTCTTCAGATTCAGTCGCGTCTAAAACCCCTTCGCGCGCACCGGTTTGGATCTTTTGGAGAAGTCGCTGCCATTGCTGGTCAGATGAAGGTCCGTAGCCCGTACGGTAGATAGTGAAGCCCCAGTTCCTATGGCGGACAAATTCATCGTCTTCATAGACGCAGAGGTTTTTCATCCATTCTTTGATGGTGGTAGTCATCGGAGACGGAAAGGACGATGTATTGATACCAAATGTGTAGAAATACGGATGGAGAAATTGCAATGAGATGCAAATGCAATTCCAGGGTTGTTTCGAAATACGACAGCTTGATTGATGCTTTATATAATGACACGAGATTTGATGTGTTTAAAGCTTTCACTTTACAAGAGTTTAGGCCTAAATACCTAGGCAGCCATCTGCGGGTGGGTCTGCGCACAGACAGTGCTGCCTTGCGACTCTCCTGCATAGGCAGGTACATATCTCAAGTGCGCGATTGAGGTTTGAAAGTAATCTAGACTTCTGGATCTGTTCATAGTAAATAAACACAGATATTTTATGAATCAGCTCTTTGGTTAAGTATTGGTTAGCAAGGTTGCGCCAATCCATGGGTACCAAACTTCCGAACTTCCCAGCCACCATATGGACCCTATCAAAGACGCTCCAATGCAACTCATAACCAAAGAAAATTTGAACTCATGCACGCACGAAATTTCATGCTGTGGATGCAAGGTCCTTGTCTCTTTTTTCTTTCGCACACTACGACCATTGCCAGATCATAGCACCACTTCAAGACGGATGAGGAAGATTCACAAACAAATACGACAATAAATGCACCGCGATTCATCCTCTCAAGATGCCTCCTCGACTCCCTCGCTCAAGGACCCAGATTGATTTCGTCCCAAAAGTGCGCCGACCACGCGAAAAAAGGTCACATGCGTCGCTGCGAAACAACAGCCTTGCTGCCGCTTGCAAGAGTACGAAACCGGTTGCACCGCCCAAAGAAGCGCCCAGTCATGGTTTGCAGTACTTTCCTCTATGGTTGGCTGCTAAGGCACTTTGGTTCGGGGTGGACTGGTGCCTCAATCAGGCCTTCGACGGTGTGGAAGCTATAGCGAGATTGCGAAGAAATGGGATTCAGAATCGAGAGATGGCCTACCTAGCGAGTACCAACTAGCAGAGAGAAGAATTCCAACAGTAAGGAAAGAGATTTGTAGATTATATAGTAGTTTCGCTAAGCCTCCCCAGCGACCGATATACGCCCAACTCCTCTGATCACATCAATATTACCATCGCCATCAACACACTTTACTTTCCGCCACCGATCACGCCCACTGCCCTCCGCTGAGCCGTACCCCTACAGACAGGCGTCTCATCTCGTATCGCCTGCGGCGGAATGCGATACATGACCAGATACTCGCCATAATGCAACCACTCCGCTGCTACCTCTTTGCCACCGGCGGCATCCTTCAGCAGGTCCGCAGCGCGAAACACTGGACCTCTAGCAAAGTGCGCGGGATCTACGGTAACAACCCAGGTGTCCTCACCATAGCGCTCTCCGAAGTGCTTGGCGACGGCTTCCGCATGAGCTAGGTTGTCGTACACGCTGATGAAGGGGGATGAGATGTTGGTTTGTTGGTTCAGGTGGGCGAGACCGAAACGGGATAGTGCGGATGTGTAGTTGACGATGGTGGTCTGGTTCTTGGAACTGAAGCCGGTGGAGAAGGCGTACCGGGTCTGCGAGCTGGTGCGATGAACGCGGTAGACCAGTGTCGGTATGGCGGTTGGGGCGGGGGGTGGTGTCGGTGATGCATGGATCGGGTGGGGTTGTGTAAGAGTGTATAGTGCTATTTGTATATCAGTATGTTAATGTAGAGTGTCTGCGAGGGCTCGGAGGTTTACCTGTCATGATGAAGTTGTAATTGATGTGTGTTCAGAACAATGGGTTGTAGCGAATATGAGATGTTGCCGACTGGATGTACTGTCCACGTCAAACCCACTTGTAGTGTCTTTGAGGTCTACTGAAAGTAAGTGACAGGCGACTCTAAAATTGGGGACTGTATGGTGGAAGTTGTTACGTTCAGAAAGAAGTCTTTTATGCCTCCATATGTCAGTTTAACGTACAGTCCCAAGAGACCGGTCAATGAGGCCGTTCAAACGGTACAAATGCATATGAATCAGGAGTTCGTTGGTCATGTTGACTTTCCTTCCGCCGACGGGCATGTACATCGTTTCGTCTGTTCGAGTGTTGACTACCCGAGAGTCAACAAAGAGACAACGAGATCCCACGCTCGGTGCCGTCGGCAGGCCCAACCGGGTTGTGGGGACGGTCACAATACATTTAGTCCTGAGGTACCGTACCGTTGCTACCTTTTTCGTTTGGTGACGGGGGCAAGGCCAGGTGCATGTGGAACGAATCGTCGGTGTCATTGCTTCGAATGCCCTTTCTTCATCGCTATCCGTTTGGTATGCAGATCGCGGTATCTTGCATGACCGCATAATGCGGATTGTGCATCAGGCGTATCGACGCGAAGGTACTCTTAGCGAGGCACGTTTGGACCTCTAGTGTACTCCGATGCGGATGCGGAGAACACCGCCATGGATGATAGTTTGAGACCCTCGTGATAGCGGATATAAAGGGACGGGCTATTGACGGAAGGTGCATCAGAAAACACATAACTGCAAAACAACGGGTTTGGTGTTTGACAAGAATACTAGATTCGACATGGAGACGCCATCTTTCCAGAGAGTGCCAGGAAAAGACTGGACGAAAGATAGAATCTTTGAGACATGGCTTTCTGTGCCGCTGAAAGCGTCAAAGCATCGGACCGATGTATCGTTTCCTGGAATCCGATATTGGGGTCGTACAGCCAAACGGGCAGACGCATCCAGTGGAGCGTCAGGCATCAAATCCTATTTGCCGTATGCACCGTATTGTAGAAAGGGACGTGCAGTCCCTCCCGAGTACCGAATGCACATCGGGGATGGAAATTCACAGTGCCGCGTCCAGGAGCGCGGGAGGAAGGCGGCCTGCGTGGAGTAGTGACGACACCTGTCGATATGTTCTCACCGCTCCTTCTCCAGACGGCGCCGGTGCGATCAAGCTGACTACAACGCGATTGATGTTCATGATGCAAGATGGGTGCGAAGACAGGAGTGAAGGCCCCGCACGTGGTTCGGCATCCGCCCCGCGCAGGTCTAGGCCATTTCGGGACAAGCGTCGCATTCCGAGGTCTCCAGAAGTCCGAAAAGTTGGTGGTGACAATCGCAGGCGCGCAGGCGGGCATCAACGTTACATCGCCACACAAACGGTATGGGAAGCTGCTCAAGACATTAACACTTCAATCTGACGTATCGCTAGTTAATTTGAGTCCGTGTCGCTGCGGAGCCCACGCCAAACGCCACACCAAACCCATCCAAAGCCACTCGCAAACGCACCGAGACCTCGCATCGAAGCCACCAACTCTCTACATCACATACCCAACATGTCTTATTTCCGGATAACACTCATGCGCTCCGGCATCGGTATGCCCGAGAAGACGCAAGGAGTGCTCAAGGCGCTCGGTCTCCGCAAACGCATGACGACTGTCTACCACCCCGTTACACAATCTGTCGCTGGTCAGATCATGAGGATAAAGGAATTGGTCGACGTCAAGGAGGTCAAGAACCCAATGACAAAGGATCAAATGCGCGCTGCGAGGAGACCGGATCCGGGGTACTATATCGAGCAGAGGGCGGGCGAGGCTATGGGGGCGTACGAATAGACGGAATGAGATGGGAAGAAGATATGCTCTTACGTGTAAATTAAGGGATGAAAAAGCATACATCTACGGCGTTCTGGAATATATGGCGTGGGACATATTATGCTACACGGTCACTTGAGACCGAGGCTGATGTGCAGCGAGTATCATCTACCTGGTCATACGGTCATCGACTCGGACCTTCGCCTTTTTCAATAATAGAAAGACAATTCGCATACTTTTTTGCCGCCGATATCTTCTACAGCTGGGCCTCAGAAGTCCGGGCACCCGAGCTTCGTGTGTCCTATCGCATAAACCGGTCAACAACTTGGAGCACCATACTGCATTTCAATTCGTCGCCAGATACGCCTCGTTCAATTGCGCATATGGACGCTAACAACAATTGAGGTTCATCCAATCAAATCTTTGCCACAGACAGCTAATGCGCTGCAGCTGACATATGACAAACAATGGCCCAAGACCCTCCGCTCCAGGCTGCATTACAAGCAACAGCTTTGATCAATTTCACGACTTACTGCAGACCTTGCGGATGAAATCCGAGCTTGGAGTCTAATTCATCAACAATCTGCTCTGTTACCCCCCACCCTGCGTCAAAATGGACACTGGGCGCGCACCTGACAAGAACAGTCGTCCTCAGCCTTTCCTCCACTCTGGTCGTCGCTACCCTACGGCCAAAAACACCTCTGGGGCATACTTTGAACAGCATTTCAGGTCATCGGAGCGTAAAAAGCAGT